CCTCAGGGCGCAGGGGTGGCGAGGGCGATGCTGGCCCCCACCCCAAGGCTGCAAGAGAAAGGGCCAAGGCTGCAAGGACGTTCCTCTTCACAAGGCAGAAGGCACCCTCCAATTAGCCTTTTAATTGCCTACTGTCATCAAAGTCTTAGAAAATCACCACCATAGATACATTCCCACCCAGCTGGCGCAGCCCTATGCCTGCCCGGGCAGCGGCCCCTGAGGGTGCACAGGCAGCACTGGACCCACCCACTGTGCCGCCGCACTCCCACCCCCCGCTTAGTTTCCCACAAGAGGACAATTTCATATGAAGCATTTGTCTGGAAAAGGGCTCAGAGCAGGCAGCTGGCAGGGCTGGACAGCCTGCCACCCCACGCCGCTCTGCCACCACCCCTGGGTGCCAGGCCGGCTGCGGAGGCAGGGCTGGTGCCCAGCATGGCAGGGGGGAACTGGGGGATTGCCACCACCTCCCCCCCAGTTCTTCTTCTATCCTTCTTTTTTTGGTTAAAAAAATAAAAGAGGGGGCAGCCCCCAGCGGGGCAGCTCCAGGCATTAAATACTCTGCTGTACATGAATAAAAGCCCGAGGGCGGGGGCACCTGCCCCTCACAGTGCTGGGTCTGCAGTCCAGGTGGGCCGGGGGGGGTTCTGCCCCCCTCTGCCCATCACAGCACGTCCACCCGCTTGTCCCGCACCCGGCTCCGGGCTTTCGTGCGGGCTTTGAAGGCAGCTGAGTTGTAGAGGTGCTGGGAAGGAGAGGGGAGAGATGGGTCAGGGGGTGACCCTCTGCTCACCCCCTCACCAATGCCCACCGTGCTCAGGGCTCCATGGTCACAGGCAGGCGCTCGGCTGGAGCCCACAGCAGCATGGGAGGGGACTGCGGGCATAAATCTGGGTGGGAACACCCACCTTCTCGAAGCGGGAGACCTTGCTAGCTTTCAGAGCAGCCGTGTCCAGCACCAATGGGGGCCCGAGGCCGAAGATCTCCCGTAGCAGCTCATTGTTCTGCGGAAGCAGGGGCCTGTCAGCTCCTGCCAGCACTGGCCCAGCACCCCCTGGTGTGGCCGCCCACCCCCTACCTGGAGGTGATGGCGGATGCCAGAGCCCAGCACCTCTTTAAAGGCTTGGTAGGTCCGCTGGCGTGCCCAACTATCCAGGTACATGCACTCCAGGCCAAATCGGATGGTCTCCTCCTGGTACTCCCCGCTCTGAGCAGAGACAGGGGCATCAGCAATAACCTGGGTGCCAGCTCTGTGTGTCTCCCAACTCTCAGCAGAGAGCGGAGAATTGCCAGGCATTTGGGCAGCAGCCACACGGGCTCGGCAGGGAAGGGCACCGCCAGCCTCTGGTACCTCAATGAAGCGTAGGATGTCCCGGAAGATGGAGCGCTGCTTCCGTCGGTCCATCTTGGCTCGGTACTTGTTACTCTCAGTAGCCAGGACCTTGAGTTGGGCATGCAGGAACTCTGTATCTTGGTGGCACAAATCCTCCTGCCACAAAACCAGGGGGGTTCGGAGAGGAGATGGCTCCGGGCACTGCCCACTGCTGCCATTGCCAGGACAGGGCTGAGGGATCACCAAGGCCAGCCCCTCTGCCTGGGCACCTGCTGGTGACGCCAGCCTGGTGCATCCCAATACCATCACTGCCAGCTCAGCTGGGGCACAGGCAGGGTCCCAGTGCCAGCAGCTCCCTGCCGCTCTGCTGCCTGCCCCCCCAGCCACCTGCTGCCTCCTGCCGCCACAGTGCCCTGTCCTACCTCCATGTCATGGGCCAGCTCGAAGACCAGTGCGATGGTTTCCCCGGCCAGGATGCGCAGCATTACGCTACTGCTAGACAGCAGCGGGGGCAGCTTCAGCCAGCGACTGGGGCGGGAAGGCAGGAGGGGAATCAGGGGGGCCGGGCACCACCCCAGGGACTCCTCCCTCTGCAGCCGCCTGCCCCACAACAGCCCCCACACCCCCCACTCACTTGTCCAAGACACTCTTGATGTGGGAGGGGGGGCAGATGGTGAGGAGCAGGGACCATGACTGGAGCGCACTGCAGTGCAGAGGGCCATGCTGCGTGGGTGCCGAGCCCCCCTCGCCTGCGCTGGGGGGGCTGAAGACGCCCTCCAAGCAGGACAGGCACAAGATCACGTCCTGGAGGGGGGAAACCCACCTGTCAGGCCACAGCTGCCAGGAAGACACCAAAGTGAAGCCATGCACTGGGGACTGAAGGGGACCCACACTGCCCAGGGGCACCAGGAGCTCCCCTCGGCAGAAGGGGTCCTCCAACCAGGACACCCCATCTCTGTGAGGCAGGCTTGCCCCCCACCTCAGCTCCAAGCCGCCCAGCCATCGTGGGCCAAGGGCGGGTGGCACAGCAGCCCCCGGGGTGCCCTCTGGCAGGGGTACGGACGACACTGGGATGCAGTTACCTCGAGGTCAGCAGCAGCAATGTAGCAACACATGCCCAGGGCCATGGCACACTGGCGAGAGACGTGGGGAAAAGGCAGTCAGAGGAGGCAGTGTCAGGCCAGATCCAGCACCCGCCCAAGGGGAAGCAAGGCCAGGGTGCCCCTGCTTTACGCACTGCTCCCCGCAGCACCCAATCCTGCTGCCCTCTCACGACCACAGGGGCCCCTGAGGTTGTCACCCAGGCTCTCCCCACTGCCGAGGTGCCCCCTGTACCCAGGAGGAAAGGGGCTGGGCCTTACGCTCTGCCGGGCGCTGGGGCTGGCTGTGCTGTCTGTCAGGATGCTGATGAGCAGGGGCTTCAGGCTGCGAAACACCTCTTCCCCCTCCGGGCCGGAGCCCATCTGGAGGCAGAGGAGGGTGAGGACGGTGCCTGCCAGCGCCTGTTCCTCCCCTTTACCTGCGGGCAGCACGAGAGACCTCCCTCAGACACTGGCCACCAGCCCTGCCACCCCCGGCGCCCGCCTGCACCCAGACCTTTCTTGAGACACTTCTCCAGGGAGTCAGTGATTGTGAGGCGCCGCTCCAGCAGGAACTCGGAGAGGGTTTTGGAGGAGAAGGCCAGGCGCAGGCTCTGCAGTGCCACCTGCCGTGTCTTGGTGCTGCGAGAGATGGCAGGAGGTCACCGGCTGGGGTGGCCTGGGATGGGGCACGTCCCTGCCCCTGGCTGGCAGGGTGCCAGGCGGGCGCCAGCCACTCCTCACCTCTTGTCCAGGAGGTTGTCCATGTGCTCCTTCAGCCTGTCCTCCACTTCCTCCTCCGGGCCTTGCTCCCCCGCTGCCTCGCTCCCTGCTGGGGCGACACCCACGTCACAGAGGTGCCCGGGCGCGAAGGCGGGGGCCCAAGGGTGGGGACGTGCGCCCCCGGGGACACACGGAGGGGGACGCGGCGGGGCGGCCCCCAGGGCTCACCTGCGCCCTCC